CCCCAGTTGGTAACAACTAACTGAAAGACTAGTAAAAATGTACATTTGTACATCTCCATGATTTACAGAGTTGACGTTCAACACGTTGGTACCTACTTGACATTTACCTTGATAACAACTCCTATGCTTAGGGAGTCGGAGGTTTTCCAGGGAGTTGTGGAAATCTAGAAAATGACTACTTGTATAATTACCTAGTGCCAGCACCCCAGCTTCCAACTCCTAACATTTTTGCTGGGAAGATACAAGTTGAAGTTTATCAGTAAAAATGTATCAAAAAAGTTTGTAGATGAAAAAAGCCAGATAATGAAAATCCTGAAATCCTACTTGAATATGTGTGTAAAGAAATACAGTAGAATAGTTTCAACCATCCCAGAAATCACACAATATATTGTACAACATTTCTTGTACCTTTTTCCTTTGTGGCCCACATAATGCTCTATTATTTAAATGTGGCCCTTGGCCACTTCTGAGTTGGGCACCACTGGTATACAGTATTGTCGAGTATAGCAGTATGACAAAGTAAACGTGCTCCAGCAAGAATTTTTTCAGGACTATACTGTACAGACATCCAGGGCACTGTGGAGTAATGCTAACACGGTACAGTATGCACTGGGAAAATTCCAGGCATACAATATACCGCTCTGTATACTGCTTGTAATGCGTATAACTGTCTGGAGTCACCGCTGGTCTTGCATGCAGCGGTATATATTACAGTATGTTCCAAGGAGTAAACTGAAGCATGTATTATAGATTTACACAAGGGACTTTTTCCCAAGGTCGATTTTTAAAATTGTAAAACGGGATACATTGGAAACCATGCTTACAAATATCGACAAGGTTTGCATGGAAATACTGTAGATAACCTACTTTTAAACAATTTAATTCACAGAAGTTCGAAGAATAACAAGAAATACGACAGACAAAACGCGTCGATCATCAAAGTAACCTCTCAAAAGCAACACATCTGATAATGGAATCACAAGTTTGAACATTACTCAACGGAAGTCAAATACTGTAAGTAATAATGTACCACATAACAACGGAATCCATAACATGCGTGCAATTGAGAAACACATGCAATAATCATCTTATTGAAATAAATTAGGTCGCTGCAAATTAGATGGTGCTGCAATAACTAAAAATATCCTGTTGAAGCAATTTGACTTTCATCATTTTTGGCATTTCCATTCGATTTTGCTGGAAGCCAAAGTATACTTTCATCAATAGGATGAACAAATTTTCCCAGATTCAATCTCTTTCCGCTTTCATTTGTGATGACAACTGAGCTAGCCCATGCTGAACTATTTTATCATTGCTATACTGTATATAGCTTCATGTCTGAAAAATGCTACCACCAGTAATGGAAACATGAAGTATAATAGCCAGTGGATTGATTACTTTTTGATTTACAACCCTGGTAGTGTTGTTACAACAAATCTCATTACAACAGATTATTAGTTTCAACAATGTCATTTTCTAGGTCCATGTTCAACAGCAAATGTTATTCAAATTGCTTTCAAATTAAGCTTTTTCCTGCTCTCCAAGGGGCTTTGTTCCAACAAGATTTTACTGCATCAAGATTGTAAACAACTAATGCAATTTCAAAAAGATTTACTTCTGTATAGGTTCACATGGATCTAATGAGCCAGAAACAAATATGCTAAATAAATTTCATGCATGTCAATGGCCAAAACAGCACTAGAATCTTACCTTATGGTTGAACATATTGCAGGAAAAGGTGACATGTCTCCTTTCAGCTTGGATAAAAAAAGCGCAAGATCACGGAGATTCCATTGCCCACACCTCAATCAGCATGTTCCAGCTGATCCTACATCCAGATGATCTTAAAATCAACAAGGATAAAAAATTTCAGGATAGCTTTGTTTACCTGCACTGGAAGATCTGTTGAAACATGATCAATTTCTTTAAAATTTAAAGAAATCGGGAATTTCACAAGATGGAGAGAATAAGACTGATGATACTGTATAAGCAACAACTTGTATAGTTTTTGCTCTCTCAACAAATTTTCAGCAAACTGAAATTCATGGAGAATGGCTGCACCAGGAAACTTTCAGCATTCATATACAGGCTGCATCCAGAAAAAATACTGAAGACATTTTAGCGATAAAAAAAATTCCTGTATCACCAGAAAACATTGGAGGAACATTTATACTTCGACGATGTTGAAAAATACCGGATGCCGCGCAGAACTGGGAAAAACTCTTGCATACTGATCCTCAACTTGCAAAAAATTGTCCAGTAGCCTTTCAAATAATAGTGTTTTCATTGTTTTCTCCCAAACGTCCGCTAAAATACCAACACGTGATCAGGTCAGGGATACATCGAGAAAAAGGCCGAGAGGAGAGAAAACGAAAATTCATCCCTCCCACCCTAAATCTCCAGAAAAAGAAAAAAAACGCACGATAATTCGGAAGCGCCTGACCATCACCACTTTCAGTCCCGACAAAAATACGCTGATTTCATCACAAGTCATTCTTCATCACTAGCTTTCTTTTTTTTCATTCTTCAAGAAGGCTCTTCTTGATTGCTTGCAACGAACGGCAAAAACTCTGTGACTGGGCAGTAGAGCGAGTGCCAAAAAGAGCACACGAATAAAAACAGCGTGGATATAAAATGCCAACACGAGAGAAGAGTTCCCAGCTTAAAAAAAAATTCAAGCTCAGAATATTACTATCCCTTGCAATGAATATTTTTGAAAGTTATTGAAAGATCAAAAAATGTTTCATCATCATTGACTTGAAAATTCTTGGCAAGAAATCAGCGCTATGGAAGGGCCACTTCAATTTTTTTCTTGGTCAAGGGCCACATTGCACGGATGGACAGTCATTGAGGGCCACAATAGACAACGATGTTTGAGTTTCTAAATTTTGCCCTATCAAAATGTAAAGTTTCAAATTTAATTCAGTTCTAAGCATAGCCTTCTAAAATTTTCAAGCGTGCAGAAACATTTCGAATTCATCTTTCACATTATATTTTGGATATTGGCGACTGCCACCTTGAACAAGAAACCCAGGACAGATGAAAAGTCTATACGGGCCAGATCTGGCCCGCGGACCTCACTGCAATAAATACAAATATTGTTCAAGGTTTTGAAAGATTCTTTCAAATTCGAGCGCTTCGAAAATGCTTCAATGGGATTGACTCATCAAACCGCATCAGACAAGACAAGTGATGCGGTTTCTCTTTGATTTCCGCACAAAAACGTGGTGTTTTTCAGCAAGCTCTCAACTGCCCAGTCACGAAGAAAAAGAAAACAACACTGCAAGGACCACACACGATCACTTATCCCTCAAATGCAAAATCACGACTCGGTCGTGTGGATTCTCTGATGAGATTTTTTTTTCTTCTGTTCATCCTTGGATAATCCACAGAAATCCCGAAATCAGGAGGAAAAATGACACCGTCGAAAAAAAAAAGTGTCCAACGCCGACCGAGAAATCCTTCTCATCGGAACATTTCTTCAAACAACTTGCCGAACATTTTTGCGAGACTTTGGGTTAAGCGGCGAATATTTTGCCGTACATCCACAAGACCAGAGACGCGAGGATTGCGACGCAACCGACGAGTGCAGTTTGTCGAAAGCGAACAGTTTCGCACGCCAATCGACCTTCTCCGCCCCGTTCTTGTCTCCGTTCGTCGATAGAGTCTTCAATCATGCAGGCGTCGGAAGCGTCGCCCTTTTCAGAGCCCTGAGCCGATTCCACTTCTTTCATCAGCTCGCTCGTACGTCGTTCGATCACTGAAAAAAAAAAAACGATTAATCGATCGGAAAATCAGTTCAAAAGTCCGCTTCCATCTTTCTCGAATTTTTACACTCGTATTTTAACGATCACACTATAGACCTTTCATTCAACAGAGGCAAACGCTAGATATTTTTTCTATTTCCAAGAGAATTATAGAGAAACTCTGATATATTTTTTTTGTGGCTCCGAGACGATGTACGATATAATAAATATAAATCTAAACGATGAACCCATATTGGACAAGCGGAGAAATAAATCAGTAATTTTTTTCCGAAGATAAAACATAATTCTGCAATTTTTTGTTTCATAATTTACTCAATTGTAGTCATTTTTATTTTAATGTTTAAATTTTTACTCCGACGCTTTTAAATAATACAGTTGAAACTCTTCGGAGTTTGACGGACGAAAACATCGAGTTCCAGAGGTTTCAATTCAGGGAAAGAAGCATTACAGGAAATTGTAATTGGTGATATTTTGGGTTTTATATTGCTTCTTGGATGAGTTGACAGGATGCTGAACCATGAGTCAAGTGTTCATTTTCCCAATTAATTTTTCACTTCCCTTAAAAATGCATCAACTTTGAATATCTTTATTGATTTTTTTTCATTCCTGTAACAATAAATTAATAACCAAAAGGCCTCCAGAAATTTTGAGTTATGGAGGTTTGAGGAGGAAAACCTTTGAATCACAGGATGCCTCCATGACTTTGCTTCTGAGGAAATTTAGACAGGGACTGGAAAAAAATATAGGCAGTCACATTACTGAGGTTCGAGTTATCAAGCTTCAACCGTAGCAGGAATTTGCAATAATAAAATTAGCAAAACATGAGGAATGGTTCAGAACCATTGTCAGTTGCTTCTGTGCTTTGCTTCCCAAGTGGAAAATAGCAAGAATCTTAAAAATATACAGAAGCCCAAGAGAAAACATCACAAGGGCAATTGATATTATCACTGGTTCACCCACAAATAACATGAACAAAGAATCATATCTAGAAATGATCTTTTTACTGCATGAAAATTTGAGTCAGAAGCCTTCAGTTTATTGTGAGATAAATGAAAGAATTTCACTCGAAGTTTCCTTTCATTCAAGTGCCCAAGAATTTTTTCAAATTGCATCCCCAACTTCCTATTCCTCAATTTGATTTTACAGGGAAGAATGATCTCATTCAAGATCACAAACACAAAACTGACCAAACGATTAAACTTTCTTCATAAAAAAATAATAGTCAGCTCAGGAAATTTTTTTTGGGCCAAATTTCGGTGAAATGCTCACTTTTAATCTTCTCACCTTGAAATATAATTCAATCACTAAACAATAAATACACTCACAAGCGACCGTTTCAGAGCCACTGATCACGTGATCCTCATTCAAATTGATCCCCAAAACGTGGCTCAAGCTTCGACACGCATCCTCGGATCCTTCCCCGGGAAACAAGTAATCCGAAAGCAGAACCTTGGGGGTCGTGCACTCGGATCCCCGTCGAGGACTGGCTCTGTTACTTCCCCCACTGCTGGTGGATCCGTCTTCGTCGAAAGGCGTCATGGAAACGAGCAATCGTCTCGGCAGTTCATGCAACACCACGGAGCCTGGATAGATTTTTCGAAGTCGAGAATACAATGATACTCCCGGATAACGGACCGCCTCGTGCAATGGTTCTTTCGCAAAAGTTGATTCGGGAATGCGGAGGATGAAAATTGTAATTGATGAATGAGTTTATGAAAGGGTTTTTCAAGCATTCTTGCTCCTGTTGGGCTTTTGTTCTCCGTGCACTGAATTTACTACAGAATTTTATATGAGCTTCTCAACTAATCAAGAAACAAATTAAGTCACTGTTAAATGCTTGAATATTCTCAGTTTAACAATTTCTAGGAAAATTGAACTGCTAGCAATCCTGTGCAAGTGTACATACCTTTACAAATCTCATAATTCTTACTATAGTGATGCCCCAATATAAAGACAATCCAACTCAGGGACACTTGCAATTGAAATAAGTTGCCTTGACATCCTAACAATGTCTAAAAATACAATCATTCAGCCAAAACTTGGAAAAATTGAATTTTTTATACAGGTGAACCTTGATAAGTCAAACCTCCCTGAGTCAAATTCCTTCCTAAGTCAAATTGTTTTCAAGTCCCTGTCTGAATTCCCTTAGAATCAATGCATTAAAAACCTCCCAAACTCAAGTCATTTTATATAAAGCCTCTGTAAGTCAAATTTTCTGAGGCCTTTTGGTTATTATTTCCTTGAAATATGAAAGAGAAAAAACATTAAAACAAATAATTTGATACATCTTGAGAGGAAGTGAAAGACTAATACTGTATAGCAAATAAACCTGTGCCTCCAAGTTCAGCAAGGTGTATACTCATGAAGGAGTAAATATAGACTCAGAATATCCTCATTTACAATTTCTCACACAATTTTCACTTCTCCTCACAATTGTTTGTATCCTCAACTGGAAACCTCCTCAAGTCACATTTTTTTTCCTGGTCCCTAGCAATTTGACTTACAGAGGTTCTAAATTACTGGATTATTGTTTATTTTGATAGCTCTTGAACAAACTGAGATTTTTATACAGTACGGTATTACCAAAAAAGTAACCTAAATTTCATATTCACTGTATTATTCATAATCCATGACAGGCTAATTTTGCGCTATTTTTCAGTCATTCCATCATTTGTGCACATAATAGCAAGACTTGTGCTCAGTATTTTCTTTTTTGGGAGCCTTTCATACCAAAAGATCAGATTATGCGTGGTTTTCTTTTGCTGAGTTACTTTCTGCATCTCGAAGTTGATAAAAGATACTTCATTTGATTTTTCGAGGACTGTTTCCTAATTTTTGATCAACATGAGAACAAATTAAATATATCCCCATTGAAGCTCAAGGAAAATTTCGATCAGATATGCAAATGTTCTGACATAGGGACAAGGTGCAAGCAGCAATTACGTCCGCATCTCGGGGCCCCGTCACCACATATAACGAACTTTCTTTTTGAATCGAGTCCACTAACTGAGTCATACTTATTTGAAAAAGTCAGAGCAACAAAAGCTAAAAGGAGTGATCAAGCAATTTTTTTCCCGTGATTAGGTCTTTCCTCACGTCATCCGCTGATCGTATCAGTAAATAAACATGTCATCATTGTTAGACGCGCAAATGCCAATTTCTACAAAACGGTTCCGTTTGGGTCAGTTTTGCACAACATCATTTCAACACTACAGGACAGTATTTCTTGCGCAGAATAAAAGCAATCACGGTTCAGTTAACGACTGAAGCAAAAAAAAAAAAAAAGGAAAATGCCCACGTCAAGCAAACACAGAAATACCGCAGACGCTTCTTTTCCAATTTTTCATGCAGGTTTTGTTCTTCCTTTTTATAGCTGTCCCCGCAATGTGCAACTGCTGAAGCAACAATCATTACTCGAGCGTAAGTGTCATTCCGCACCGTTTCAAATGGACCAAAGAAATGTACGGAAGAAACGAGAAACACTGTAACACGTACCTTGGTTCTGATTATTTCAGACACCCCTGTGTCAAACCATTTGACGTGGGAAAGAACTTCTTGAAAATTTCTGCTCAAGTTGCCTTTTTCTCAAATTTGAATAAGATGCTGTAATTCTACACATGAGCACAATGTTTGATTTCCAAATCTGGCATTACAAGCATTTAATTTGTTAAAATATTTAAAAACCTGCCATATAAATACAAGAATCATAAGAGTATTTAGTTTACACAAGCTAGTTTAGTTTACACATTGCTGTGCACAAGCTTTTAAAAGGTTATGCATGAAAACCAGAAAAAATTCCAACAACAAAATGGAATGCAAGTTAAAATTACTCAAGTAAAGAGACAAGAGTAGACACAACACCTGTGTAACATACAGTACTTCAAAACTAGACTACAGACACCCCAGGATCCCTTCTGTTAGGTTAGATTAATCAGGTACAGGCGGTACTCTACAATTTGATTGTAATCCATTGCTGGAGTAGGGTCAAATTGTGAAGCGGTTGAATTGCAAAGCATTGTCAAATGCAACGTTTTCTACAATGTATGTGACAGAGGAGCATTTGTTCTTGTGCTCCTCTGTGGGTTGAATTGAGGGGCAGAGGTTGAATTGCAAGTCAACCTCCCGGCAAATTTGACTGTAAAATTGCAGGATGGGCAAATGGCAGGGTGGTTAGATAGTAATGTACAGGTGGTACCTTGAAATTCAACTGTCCCACAATTTGACAGTTGAATTTGCAGGGAGGTTGACTTGCAATTTGACCACTGCCCTGGAATTCAATCTGCTTTGGCCACTTTTTTTGCATTTTTGTGCTGATATTTCTCAATTTCAAAAAGTGTCTTTCAATTTGACTGCTTTGCAATTTGACCCTAGTCTGGCAATGGATTAGGGTCAAGTTGCAAGGTACCACCTGTACAGACTGAAAATTTCCTTTCAATTTTCTCTGGCACATCAAGTCCATTAAACAAGTCAACTTTTCTTATACCTGGCATTCCACATCACAAGAATTCAAATATTGAAAACACTTGAAATTCTCACAACTTGATAAAAAGTACTCTCCCAAATCTTGAAGTGTTGGCTTTATACAATTACCCCTCAAAGATTATTTCTAGATTCTTGAATCAACTAAAAATTACATGGTAACCGGCTGAACACCATGTCCTTCAATTTGTGTTTGCTCAGTAATTACCTTAGGCTAAGATTTTTGTCATTCTTTGAAAAAAGTGATGCATTTCTACATACTGTGGTGTATTTGGTTTCAGTACCTATGCAATGAATTATTTTTGATAGGCCAGAATGTGTCAAATTGGGCATGGGAAATGTGTTGAACCTTGTGAACACTGACAACCAGCAAATAAAGCTTGTACAGTACATCAATCAATCCATCATTTGTAGATTGGATTGGTGCTGTGTATGCAAACCATTTCCATCCAATATTAGAATCACACACAGGATCAACTGCAACAATGAAGTCAGATACCGGTTAAAATTATTTTGTTTAAAAAAGCAATTGGATGAGTTTGAAGAACATCGAACACACAACAAAAGCTGGAAGAAACATGCAAAGAAAATTCGCAGCCATAACCAAGAAATCGGCTTCTAAAGAACACGCACGCAAAACCGGAAAAGGCAAACGGCGAAGAAAACGTGACAAGAAGCGTGAGGCAAATTACCACCATCCGAAGCATCCCCATCCTCGACGACCATATCCAGAGCAACACTTACTCCTGACAGGGCGAGAGAAAGAACACGACTGCAGAAACGATACGTACAACCAAAACGACGAAAATAAATCCAGCTCGCTATAAAGCAATGATTTGTGCACGAAAAAAAAAGCAATTATTTCGGGAGACTCACTTTCGACGTCATCTTCCTCCAATAGAGAGTCACAGTGCATTCGAAGCCTGACAAACAGGGACTTGAGGAAATCAGCCTTCAGTTCCTATTCGAAGATCACACACACACATACACACCGAATAATCACTGAGCACGAAATTTCAATCTCACTGATAGAGCTCTTTCCACGGTGATTTTCCCTTCGCCGAATGCGCGACTGACTATGGAGCCTCGAATGTGCATAAATCCCACCGAATCATCGTAGTATCTGATGAAATCCGACTTGGAATCACCGCAGGCCTAGAATCATTTCGTGAAATACACGAGTCACAGAGCCAAAAAAAAAAAGAAAGCCAACTCACCGGATCAATCAAGAAATCCACTCGATGAGAACGATTGTGCTGAATGAACGGCACAGTTGCTGACGAAAAGGCTTTCTTCTTCTCGTTTTTTGACGAAGGTTCGATCACATCAGAATTATCTCGCATGCATCCGTCCAGCAAACAACGCGCGGCTTTCACCTCCGTCACGTAAGGCTTCAAGCATGCCTAAAAATAAAATTTGATACATTCTCAGAATAAATCTTCCCCACCTTGGTTCAAATAACTCAAGTTGCAGCAAAAGTCAAGAGTCTAAACCATTACTATCTGTATCATCCAACATCCCCTTAATACATGATACTGTAGGTATTTTTACAAATTCATGGCACTTTGGTAAAAAAATTCATCCAATTTTCAAAAGTGTCTAAGTGGTGTAACACCTGCAGCATAAATACATTAGTTTGTGCATCACCAGAGCACCTTCTCTTCTTACGTCCAGGATTTCATACTGATAGAATCAAGCTTAAGATAGATTTACAAGTAATGGAATTCAATGAAGAGACCCTTTCTGAAATATTCAAGGATCAAGATAAACTGCTGGCTTTATATGATTTCTCATCAAAGATTCTCTGTAATTTGTTCATTCAACTGAACCTCATACAGAAACAAGCTGAAGACCTTGTGCTTTAAATTAATTTTTTTTACATATATTTTGTTACCAATGTCAGGGAATGAATGGGTGTATGCATACATGTCAAATGTCCAGTTGTATTGTATTTTCTTTTATTTTTGTCATCAATTGGTGCTTTCCTGCTCTGAAGTGATTAAATTGTCATTGAGTGGATTTGGGTTGGGTGGGAAGGGGGATTTGGTTGTGGAAATTTTGATTGAACCTTGTGAATGCTAAAAAGTGGCAAATAAAGTGTTCTGTTCATTCATTCAAGTCAGGAGTCGAATATTACCCTGAACTGCTTGAAAAGAGACTGGTCTCGGATTTCCGACGGAATGAAAAATTTCCAGTCGACCGCAACCTTCGTTTTGAACTCGTGCCATTTCGTCGGTTCGTTCGAAATTTTGCAGTCGCACGGTTTGTAAGTATCCAGAAACGGAGAGCCTCCGAAAACGAACTTGAACCTTCATGTAACAATGCGTAGGAGTGAGAAAAAAGGGGCAAGAACTGTAACGTATAACAATCCGGGACACAAACCGACAAGTAGTCGAATCTGCGGCGGCCAAGAGCCACTCCGAAAGGTCCATCCCTTCATCGAGAGACCAAGACACACAACTGGTTTCGATCGCCTTGCGAATAGCGTCCAATATGGCACTAACTTTCGCAATATCCTTTCGGTTGCCAGCGTCGATGATGTTGGCCTTCGAAACGACAGCCAGTCCGAGAATGCGAAACCTTCCAGGCAACAAGCGCATGAACTAAACACAATAAAACATTTGCGATGCAAAACGGATCAGGAAATCAAAATTCCCAAGGAGGATCCGTACCTGAACAGCTTGTTCAGCAACAAGGGATACTTTCACGTCCTGAACATTTGAAGCGGTGGAGCTGGGGGCACTTGCGTCAGATTCCAGCGAACTATTCGACGACGTTCTTCCGGGATTCAACTCATCCATCTCCATCGACCCTCCTGAACACTCCTCTACTGTTACACGGGACCGCTTGGCTTTGTCTTCATCATCTTCCGTCAGCTGATTCACCGGGGCAACGTGGATTATCTTGTGCCGATTCTCGTAACTCTGCAAAAAAGAAGGGCCACAATGATTTTCAACGCGTCGAAAAGTACGAAAATGACTTACGCATCCCAAAAGAAATCCGATGGAAAAAGGACCTTGGGCAACAAAATTCTCGAACGCGAGAGACACCTCAGGCTCCGCGCCAACTCGCAGCACCATCGCTGCGATTTGAATAGTCGAGAACCGATTACCTTTTCAGAATTCAAGTTTTAGAATCAGGAGACTGATGCAATCGGCGCCTCCCAAACTAGCCTTCGGATGATAACTCACCTATAAGAAACTATTCGACTGCAGAATAATTCCCCGGAAATCCGATTATTTCAATCGAGAAAAAAATCCGAATTCCACGAATCAGCGGAAGACCAACTTCATCACAGCACGCCGAATAACCAAAATTATGACTGAAGGAACAACCTGAAACAAAAAATCAAAATTCTAAAACCAACCATCGCCTTCGGAATATGATTAAATAATAAAAAAAAAAAACACCGGAAGATGAACGAGGCGAACATCACTGAAATCATTCAACACATACTCGTGAACCACACACACATCAAATCTGACGAAATCGAACAATAATTCCGGTCGAGGTTTAAAAACAAAACGTAATAATAAAAAAAAACGAGAATACCGTATTTACGCGACCATAGGCCGCCGTTTCAAAAGTAAAACTGTTCAGGCACCCCAAATACTTCAAAATTTTGGAAAGCAAAATACAACCAATAAAAAAAAGAAATATTTTCTTCAATCGGTGCACTCCTTCAAGCTAACGAATGAAGTTCCGGACCATGTTCTGAACCAAGTTAAAGTTTGTTTTAAAATCACGGGGAAGTTTTTCGAAAGTTTTTGAAGCTGAGAAAATGAATTACAATCGGGAGGCCCATCGTACCAAATTTGTTCGACTACATGCCGCAAAAAATGCTTCATATGACCAACATTAAAATCGCATGCAATCCGTAAAATGTTAAAAAGCACGTTCTCGAAGATGTACTCGAATGAAAAGTCGACAGGTGTACATTGCTTGAATTTGTACCATTTTAATTTCAAAGAAAAAAAAAAAAAGATTTGTTCCATTTCATATACGAGGGCTGTCCCAGTTGAACGTGGCCTTAGATATTTCTGGAGTAGGTGTGATAGTAAAAAAAATATTCATAACATAGCCCATGATGTTCTAAGGTTCAGGAATATTTTCCAGATTTTTAGAAGGACTTCTCAATTTACTGCACGATGATGAAAAATTTAAAGTTGAAGTCACAGTTCTTCACGTATATCACGGTGTGCTAAAATTTGTTAGGCTGGCTAAAATATCGACAATATTTCGTTGTTTTATCCATTACCTAAAATATATTCAAGATGATGAGATAAACGAAACAAACAAAAAATATTTTAACGCGCCTAAATCTTTTTACACCCTGTGACATGGGTGGAGGACTGCCGCTGTAACTGGAAATGTCCCACTCATCATCATGCAATAAATTGAGAAACTCCTTTAAAAATTCCAGAACTTCAAAACATCACGGGCTATGTCACAAATTTTTTTTTACAATCACAACCAATCTGAAAATATCTGAAGCCACGTCCGTTCAAACTGGGACAACCCCGGTAAATCAGGGACGCCACCAGCTTTCTCGGGTGATTTTTCGTTTGCTGCCAAGATTATGAAGGACGCCTTATATAGTCGAGTAAATACGGTAGTCGATAGCAGAGGTGTTTGGCGAACAACGCGAGGATTCAACTCCATGGATACATTCCGTAGCTCATCGGATTATACCTGTTATTCGGACGATCGTTACGCATGGCGCCGACGCCGCCGTAGCCGGGCATCGGTGGCCCACCGGGTCCTCCGCGCGAGGAAGACGACGACGACAACATACCACTGGGATTGGGGAATTTCCCCGCGAGTCCGTCGGGGCTTCCAGCCATGGCAACTGGGCCGCTTCGAGTGCCGTCCCGTCGAGTACCGGCCGCCCAACCCGCATTGTAGGCGGCTCTTTGCTTCCCGTGGTCTTCCGCGATTTTGATCTTCAACGCTTCCGTACTTCCCATTGGGATCGTCCCGTTGAGTCCCATGATGGCTGCTTCCGCCTGGTCCTTGGTGTCGAAGCTGAATTTTCGTTCGGATATAGAAATTGAAAGAAATGAATTAATTTCCACGCAAAAATTTTAAAACTAACGAAAAATCCGAACAGATTCAAAACTCTGGTAGTGAAAACAAGGGTTCCGCTTACACTTCTAGGAAGTTTCTGAAAAGTTTGGCTAGTCACCAAAAGATTTTTCAGTCTGCCATCACTGTTCAATTTATTTTTTGCCCATGTAAAAATGAAATACAGTGAGACCCCCAAATGCGGACACCTTGACCTGCGGACAATTCCACATAGGGACACTCATTCTCCCAGAAAAAATTCATAAAAAAGGTCCAAAATGAGGACACTGACTCAACAGAGGGACATTTTGTGTTGAAATTGCAAATTCATTTCAGGCCAAATGACAAGAAACAGATATTTCCAACCCTAAAATTGATGTAAGAAAAGTTTTTGGGCATTTCTCTCACCAATTCACCATCTATTTAGCTAATTTAAAAAAATTACCTCAAGCATAGAAGGGACTTCTAATTTTTTTTCCTCTTGAATGTCATTTTTGTAGATGACAACATTTCAATGTACAGTACAGAGATACAATATTCAATGCTACAAATGTTCTTATTGAGTTTAAAATGTACAGTATTCATTAATTCAAATTCAAGTGGCAAACAATTTTTTCAGGGAATTCTAAAGAATATTTCTCCCATAAAACACCAATTAAAAATTATATAATGTAAGTCTATGGGAAAACAAGACTTGACTTAGGGACACTTTTGATGCACCAATTATGTCCGCATCTCAGGGTCTCACTGTACATAATCTCATAATAGGTGAATTTAAAATTGATAGCTTAATGAAGTTCTTTTTTCATCATCAATGCAGAGTATGGATAATTGTTCCCCAACCTGTGGTGCACAGACTGGCGCCAGTCCACAGAAGTTTCTTGCCAGTCCAAAGGAATTTTCTGCCCCATGATAAATTGATCAAAATTAGCAATGAAGTCTGTTATCTTATCTGGAATTTTGGAAAGACAATTGAACTTGAAATGATCTGATGAAAACATGAAAGTGATCTTTTCTCCTAATATCAATTCAGACAAAATTTCACCTGCTGAAACATATTACTGTATTCTTCTATTCTGAGAAACCTTTCTTCAAGCACACCTTCCTACTTTTTCAAAGACCCTCCACTATAGCTGCTTCATTTGTTTGCAATTTTTTCAAAGATAGAAGCAACATTTCAAATGCCTGCCATAAATCCTTTTGAGCAGAACTTTTTTGATTCTGTAAAACTTTGACAGAACTTAGCCAGTCCAGAGAAAATTTCTGTGAAATTTGCAGTTCCAAAAAAGATTCTAAGGAAATTTGCCGATCCATGGGCCCGAAAAGATTGGGGAACACTGGTATTGATTTTAGAAAGACATGCGCTTGTTCCTTGCTTTTTCAGCTCCTTTTCATGCCAAAAGGGCACATTACCCATAGTTTTCTTTGGCATATTGTAGTCACTTTCTGCACCTTGAAGTTGAGGAAAAATTTTATTTAATTTTTGGGGAACCTTTTTCCAAATTTTTGACAAAAAGGATAACCAATTGAACATGTTCTCAGTGGAGTCTATGGGAAAACGTGATCCAGCATGCAGACGTTCCAACATGGTCAAAAATCCTATTACCTCAAGTCCGTATCTCGGGGCCACACTTCAAAGCATCATAGCAGTTCTTCAACAACCAAAAAAAAAAAGCTATTCTCTCGACACTTTTGTTGATGATCGATTACAACCAGACCCTCCTCAAATCTTCAACAAACAGCAATGCGTCTCACCGAACAAAACCAACTCCGCGAGACGCCCCAGTAGCTTTGTCTCTCAGAATATTCCTTTGGATAATTTGCCCGTACTCGGAGAAAAGCTTCTCGAACTGATTCTCATTGTATTCCCGCGGGATCCCAGCCACGTACAAATTGGTATCCTTGATGTGTTCTCCCGGGGGTCGAGCGTAGGATACCTTAATTTTCTTGTTCATCACGTCGAGGCCATTCAATGTCTCAATCGCACGTGCGGCATCTTCCGCCCTTTGGAAGTCGACGAATCCGTAGCCATAACTGTATCCAGTCTTGAAGAAACGCATATTTTGTTACATTAGAAATCAAGCTTTCCAACAAATGCAGTAAAATCTCGTTAAAACAAATTTCAGTAGAATACAAAGAAAATTTTGTTTTACTGAATAATTTCTTATAACGAGATTTTAAAAATTAATGTCAGGAAGCCCCTTTTTTCTTGCATTAGACCTGCCAATAATCAATTACATCTTGCTGTTATGGCATTCTCAGATTTCTATCGTTTTTTTTTTTTAAACTGAGTGATCTGGAAAAAAATCAGCTTGAATCCTGCATTCCATTATTTGCACCCATGTCTTCATTCCATGGGATTGTTGTGTGGAACCAATTCGATGCATGTTTGTCATTGATTAAAGTTTCCATCCATGATACAAAAAACAGTCAGTCGCACTTGGGATCAGGAATTTTAGACTGAGCCTGCCTTGGAAAATTTCTACCTGGAGAATCTTTTAAAAATT